TAGAAAACAAAATGAATGACAATTTTGTGAGAAGATTAAATGTAGACTGATAAGTGAGCACTGAACCTCTGACCTTTATAAGATGTACATTATATGAATATAAAAACAAGCAACAATAAATACATACAAGTATATTGGTTATTTTGATCTAAAACAGTTTATATCTATACAGTACAAATATTTATTATATCATGAAGACAAAGCAGAGAACAGTTCAGAGAATACGTCGAAAACTGCTATTGTATCCATCAACAGCCTCAATTAAATTCACGACTTATTTAACAAATTGTTTTTTATTGGATTTATTTCAAGGGGGCAAAGTGTATACACTAAACTGAATTGCTATAAACAGTAAACAAAAGTAATCTGAAAACCATACATTTAAATCATTATCTCATTTTCGGAGAGTATATAAATAACATTTAATAATACCACATCATGTCTGCTTTTCCACATGATTCCTCTCAAGATGTGTAATATCCCAGAACAGGGATGCACTACTACGTGCTTCAATAAACATTTGCTAATTTTATACACATGATCGGTAAATGATCAACGTTTTACAAATTTGAATTAATAAAATAACAAAAGTAACGTAGCTTGCTGTATGAACAGAAACAATAATAATGCTTGAAGTGTTCCACTGTTTATGCACTATTTATTTAGCATATATATAGCCACTAGATATATATACATATATGCCTGAACAAAATTAAAACTACAAAAGAGAAATAAATGTAAATTTATGAGAAAAATACATTTTTTTTATTAACTGAATGTATTATGTATACAAGTGAGTAAATGTGTATGTGCTTGCAAAAGGGAGTTTGATAAATATAACATTTTTAAGAGGCAAATGTAGCATTTAGTGTTTCCAAACCATATCACATACAAAGGCCCCTCATATAATTATAAAGGTAATCCAGATGAATGGCACAGTGCTGAATAAGGTTAATGTAGACAGGGATCTTCATGTACCATAATAGGCAGACATCTAAATTACTTTTTATACTACACTGCATCTAACATTCTTTCCAATCATCACGCTACATGATAGGCAGGCAACAAAAGCAATGTGAAATGTAATCAGTTCAATGTATCCGTGTGACCATTCCGGACATCTAAATTCAACACAACCCGTCTTAGTCACTCAGCCGGAATTAACGGTATAAAGAAGGCAAAAACAATCTGATTACAAAATGCTCTTTACATATGCATTAATAACCAGAATAAGCGTACCTCGCAAAGGTTGTTTTTCATCCAGGCTAATATCACAGCAATTTATCATATATGGCCTAATGATTTATATATAATTCACACTGGTTAGCACAAAAGTAAGCTTGTATTATCCTAAAAGGTTACCCATGCCTAAATAACAAACAATTCCCAGCAAAGCATTCAAAAAGATGTACAATGTTAACCTTTTTTGGTGAACATACCTATAATTGTTACAATAGGAAGTGAAATAGTAAAATCAATGAAGGTGTCATAAACAACTTTTCTAAGGTGACTTGGGCTGTGAAATGTTAATTGAGGTGATATGTAAATTACAGTATATGAATGGAGGGAGTCTGTGCACACATGCACGGACAGGACAATATACCATACAATAGTTGGATTCTGTTGAAAATAACATCTATTCATTAATCAATAACAAGGGGCCAAACATTGGCATTTGATGGAATAGCCATTTTTAAATAAATAATGCTCTTGTACATTCAACTGTATCAATTTATGCATAATACTTGTTATATTTACAACAATTACAGAAATACAAATTGTATAACCAAATTCCACCCAAATTGCTAGGAGTAAATGTAGCCTTGGTTTTTTTATTTACAAAAGAAGGTTCTAATCACATAATGATTTGAACAGAATAAATGTATCCATATGTCATTAGACAGCAGGAAGTTGTCCTTATATACGTGTACTGTTTATAAACCAAGTCATGCACTTATATCTGACTGTTCACAGGAAACAGGTCTGGAATTGTTGAAAAAAAGATACCAAGTATTTTAGTCATTCACAGGAAATTAAATCATTATACCGATTAATCATCAAGTAAAAAACAATTAATTGTTAACTTTATAATTTTAGCTACAGTAGTTTTATAATGAAACCTGGTATATAAGTAAAAAATTAATGTTACAATTATAGCACTGACAAAGATTTCTCATAAAAAAAAAAAAATCATGTACAAAAATAGTTATCATTTATATTTGATTTGTTTCAATCATTGAAATGTTTCTTTTTTGTGTATTCCACTTTTTTCATTAGAACATTGAAAACAGCTGCCTATACATTGGTAAGTCAGGATAAACTCCAAGGCCATATCAACACATTCTCACATACAAGACAAATCCCAAGGTCAGTTAACATTACTTGATTGTAATCATATACAGTTGTCCAAAGAGCAATGTAATTACTGAATTAACAACTATGTCACTCTTGTTCAATAATCTATGACAAATGTGCAAGTACATTTTCTACATAAACTAAACTGCCTGGTGAACCTCAGGAAAACTGCTGTAATTAATAGTCCACCACTTAAGTACACAATACACCTTCATCAAGGCCCCTGATATAAAATATATGAATGCTCAAACAAAAAGAATGAAAAAATAAATAACAAAAACACGTTTTCACATTGACAGATTACATGACATGATATACTACAAATAAATACAACAAATACAGAAATAGTAAGGCAATATCATATGCCCTAAATGTTGAGGCATCATGAAAGTATTATTTCACAAACAAGGCATATATGTGGAATTTAACTAATGCAAACCACACAATGTGCAAGTCTAACAAAAGCAACAGCACTTGTACAAAATATTTAGAACCCAGTATAATTTCCCAATCATTTTTCTTTAATTCTCAAAATCATAATTCAATAACGCACACCTCCATTGAAATATCTGGTATTTCACATTGTACTCACAAGTGCACAAATGTAAGACAAGCTATTTATCACAAAGGGGCCCTTTATACAGATTGCAAATGCTATGTTATGGCCACCCCATAACAGGACCCAGAGGCCTTTTTGCACACAATTGATACTATGCACAAGAACATGGATTATGAAAAAGAGAGTTGAAGTAAGTCCCATCACAATGTTTTATTTTTTAACTTACAACTTTAGGTAGAAGATTATATGAATATTGTGAGTATTTTTTTTTTTTGAAATTGATGGATGAAATAAATAAAAAAGAACACCCACAAGCGGAAAATCTCCAACATGTCCCACATGCAAAAACACGTTTGCAACAAAATCGACCCCTTTGAAAAAAACACTAACTACCGAAAAGCTCACAAATATTGTGGAAAAGTCGCGAATACTATTAGTGGATACAATTGATCATATGCATAAAAGTATCTCAGCACGTATACGATCTCTTGTTACGTGCGTCATACATTGTAACAAAATTAATAACTAACAGTAACACTAAACGCAACACAACATGTCGTTTAGTTTTGGACAAACAATAAATATCGAGTTTGTAAATTGCGAATTTCTGAAAATAAACATATGTTCGGAGCACTGCTTTCTTAACGCTTATAATACTTGTTGTTGGACTTCACTCATTAGCAGATTCCGGGGGATGGGGCCAAAAACAAAAGACGCATATCACACAAAGGCATGAATGAATCATTCCGTCATGGCACATAAGGCATTGTTTTGCTGTCTGCCTCGATAGTAAAGCGTATACACACGATTGCGCAAAAGAACTTAAACATACAGGCTAAATCTGGCGGATAAGCTCGCTCTTATCCAAAAACAAGGGTACTCACAAAGTTTTCTTGCTTAAAAGAACGCTTCAGAGATTCCAGCAGTCTTCGGAAATTTACCCAAATTACTCTTTTCGACGCTCAAATGACACATAAAAACGCCGAGATGTACGCCGCCATTTTCAAGGTTTCCCGAGATGCTCTCTCCCATTTTTGATCACACCATTCAGCTTGGGGTGTTGCAAATTCATTTCATGGAACTAAAGAACATCATTCTATATTTTGTGTTTTCAGAACAATCTAGAACATAACATTAAGTATATAGTTTTTTGAATATCAATTAATTTTGCAATCGTGCTGATGTTAATCATAATTATTTATACAAAACCTGCACATCAGTCAACCTATAAAAATGGTATCGCCTTGCACCATATAAGGATATCCTATTTGAAATTCAATCAACAGGTCAAATAGCTGAAATGGACGTTCGTGTAATGTTTGAAAACATCGGTCTATGTTGACCCCGTTACTTTATACAACAATATCCGAAAGCAATTGACTATGATTTTAGTTTACTTGCAATAATGTAGTGTCGGAAGTATATATTTAGGGAGAGCCGTGTAATGGAAGCTGCGGAATGTTTGTAGGCTACGATCAGTGAATATTCTGGATTGACCGTCTTGCAAACCTTTAGACTAGTTGCCATGACTGTGGCAACAATACGACGAAAGATTGTGTATCTAGTGGGGTTTGTGGTATCAGTTTGCATCCTATCAGTTGGGGGTCAGACTGCTACCCCAACACCTTTCACTGATGCAAAGACGTTACGTAATACTGCAGGTAAGTTAAGTCGTGTTTGATTGATCTTAAGTTCACAATGTCTATTGTGTATTTATATAACGGATTACAGACATGCTTTCCCCTGTTAATTCCTTGGTGGATTATCAGATAATAATAAAACAGATGAAATCCATATGTGTACATTATACCGAAAACCTTCTAATAATCCATCTATTAATTTAATAACACAAGTATCTTAGTTTTGTGTGTAATATTTGTATGTAGTACAGTATTTGGAAATGGTGGTATATATCCTCGAAATGAGCCTGCCTTACACAGAGATCTTTTACATCACAAGTCCTTCAGCATGTGATGTTCCACAAGTATTGCCTGTTGGGAATCACAAGCTTAACTTGGAAAATTTCATGAAATTATACATGAAAATTTATTTGCAAGAGTGAGAAATTCCTATATCCAAGTTCCAAACATTTCAGTCAAACTTGTTTTGACCAATAATGTTGTTGAAATCCCTGGATGCTGATCTCAGAAACACTTGATTGTGGACAGAAATGACCAAGGTTATAAACTTCAAAGTCTATTATTGTTGGCAACATTTTGGCATATCAAATAATATGCATAATACAATCATGAATGCAACAATTACTCTAGTTGCTAGTTTCCAGCCAATAGCCACAAATTATTCTGTAGATTCTGCATCAAGCTTTTCAGAAAATTTCACCATTCTAATTTCTTTTGGAATACTTCACTGGTATGCAAAATTGCCAAAAAGAAATTATGTAACTTATGTGATGAAAAAGAAAGCCTTTATTTTTGGCCTTATATAGAGACCAATATCAGCATTATTTGTGAACAGTCCTTAATGAAGGATATTTTTGGTGCAACAAAGGTATTCCTTCATCTTTATAATACTAGTGCATGTATTTATAAATTTCAATGGCTGTAGAATCAAACCAGCCAATCAACAAGCACAGTAACGTACCTATGTCATCTGAAAACATTACAGTGTTATTCAATTGGCTAATAGAAACCTTGTTTCAGTTTGAATTGTGATATTTATAAATATTTATAAAAATGAAGGGAATGCCTTTGTGGTGCCAAACTTGTAATATTTCAGTAATGATACAACATTTGGTAGTTAAAAATACTCTTTTCTTACATGATGCAGTTTGCATTATTTCATAAATTGACTGATTGTTTTTATACACAAAAACATTGCCAGCTAAGTTGCTGACTGGTTTGCTGAGTACGTCTCAAGATCGTTACATGATTAGAGGTGGTTATACAAAACTAATTTTTAAGAAGGTGCATTTGGCTAAATGTGTGCAATGTAATGCAAACTCATTAATCTTGGGAATGAACATGATGATTATCCAACATTTTTATAAAAAATGTAACAATACTAGCTACATTAGCAGTAAAAGCAAACACCAGAACAGATTGACCATAGTAACAACCATATGTATTGTTACACACACTTACAATGTACATGTACCAGAGATGTTTCACTATGAACATTTTGTGATAACTTTGCAATTTGTCATATAGCAATTTATATAATGAGATAAAATAAATCGAAAGGCAAATGCATCTTTGATTGAATTTCACCTTGTAATGAGCATACCAAACCAGTCAGTAACTTAGCTGGTAATTTTGCATTTTTGGTTTACTAAATAATATCACATTGACTGTAATGATTCTTGCTATACAAAGTTTGAACAGCTTGGGATGGCTTGAGGTGATATTTCCTTCTAGTTACATTACTGTTTTCAACCTAGCTTTTAAAATTATCCTAAAAATATATAAAATAGCTACAAGCAGGTGACCTGTGATGAAACTATTTGTTATATGATCAGTCTGTATTTCAAAGTTGTAAGAATGTCCTCTGCGAGTGATAATGATGATGGATAAGGAGAGAGAGAGATTCAGCAATACAGGCAATCACATGTTCTCACAAATGAGTATGTTTTTTTTTATTAGTAGCTATCTTATAAATGTAGATGTATGTAGCCCATTTTCAGCAGAAACTATTTTCCAAACATTACTGAGCATGCATGACAATGACGAGATTCAAACTTCACTGTGAGAGTCACCAGAATTAGATTAGGATTTGTTTAGTTTTATTTAGTGTTTGACAGTGGAAATACATAAATTGGATTCAAAGTCGAATCATTCATGGGTTGTAAAAATATTTGTTATTCATCAACTGTATCAATTAGTCCCTGTTTGGACTCAGTCTGAAATCAGAGACTTGACCTCTGGATTGACCTCTGTATGCATGCTTCCTTACCAATACTTGGACTGGTCTCAACAGATCAAACTTCACACATACATCATACATCTTGGGAGATGCATGCACATCCATTCATTTCACGTTCATACCTTTTACCCTTTTCACCACAAAATTTTCATCACAAATTCACAAAATACCGGTAGTTCTGTTTATAGTCTGCACTTTCCTTCAACAGATTGGGACAAAAAATAGCAAAAATTTTTGAGTAACTGAAAATTGACAATTAGGGGTCATTTCCAGAAATATTGAAGAATATGAGAAAAAAGAGCAGAAACATTTGGCCAAGGAAGGCTGGTGGTAAAAGGGTTATGCCTTGCTGAACATTATTTAAGACAAGGATGAATTGTTTTTACTCTTTCACTTACAAGAAATTGTTGAGACTACTATAAGAGACAATATACACTTCACTTTTCATAATTAATTAAAAATTAATTAAACCAATCCTAGACAATCATTCTGTGCATCTATTTTTTAGTTGACTGGGTAGTCCTGCATAGAAGTGTAACAGTCATTTGATATTCAACTTATTTCTGAAAATATGTACTAAGGCAATTAAGCACTAGATTTTGTTACTAAGTTTGATCACTGGTTACTACTGTGTGAGATTGACTGCGTAGCTGGGTGTCGTTCAGTGTATGTTCGCATCACATCAGGGACATTTGTGGTGGTCACTACCCTCAGTTGGCTAGTCACTCAACAGAGTAAACTGAAAAATGTTCTGTGATGACCACCAAATAAGTTTAGGAGAATGGCATCCCATCGTTGAGGACGATAACCTTTGACCTTATGTCCTGCTTCTGTCCTGAGTAAGACTGTAATTAACTCAGGCATCCTTATCGTAGAGTAGATGATTTCTGTGAGATGATGGATCATTTCTCTTACGTCAGCTTAGTCTGAGTAAGCATTGTTGGTGGTGATTGTTCAATATGAATTTCTTATCTAAAGTAAAAACATCAAATGAAATAGGAATATGGAAGAGACCATTCGAACATTTAACAAAACAATCTCTCAAGCTGTTCAACTTCTACAGTCTATTACCATACTATATACAAAAGCATCATTGGCTTTTCATTATTGAAAGTAACCAATACACTTCTAGAAATGATCCCATGTTGCAAGAAATTGATATGAAGATGGAATCCTTAAGGATATCTTTTTTTTTGATGCCCGCTTTAAGTGAAAAAGTTTTTTAAACTGAAAAAGTGCACCTCTTCCAGCTAATGGATTATCTTGTACATGTATATCATTGAGATAAGATGACTATGATTAAAAAAGGGTTAATAATTGTATGACCTTCTTCATATCTTTAAACCACTATGCATTACATGAATGCTGTAATTTAATATTTGTGATTTGTTTAAATTGTGTGTCATAAAAATTAATAATGAAACATAATGCACTGTCTTGTCTCTGGCAGCCCATCTGTTTTCTCCGCACAAGTTATTTTGCCTGCGGATCTATACATCTAAATTATATACATTCGTTTTTAACTTTTTCTGTTTTTTTATAAATTTTTATAAATACATTGTTTAAAATTCTGAAATAATATTTCAATGATGAATGAAATGTTGTAGATGCTGTGTACAAAATTGAAAATCAACAAGCTTAGTGTTGTGGGGAAATTAATCTGCTTTCACTGCAGGAAAGTGTACGTGTCCAGAAAATTTGATACTACTTGCGAATATGCACATACATTATTAAGTCGTTATAAATAGCTTTGGCTTGCCTTTAAATGAAATATATCCTGTTACCTAGGCAATATATTATAAAAATATGGATATCTTGTTTAAAAGTTTATAATAAACCACCCAACCCGCAAAATGCGAAAGGACTAATTATAAACTGGGTTTTATATTTCTATATACTTTTACTGAAATCCCACTAAATTAAATTTATGTAAAATTACAAATCTTTAAATTTAACGTTCAGTGAAAAATTATCACAATAATGAACTAAAATAAATGCCTTTGCAGTACAAAAATTTTAGTCATTCTGTTAAGTGAAGCAAATGGATTTTAGAATTTAAAAATCAACAGAAAATTGGACAAATCCAAAGTGCACACAGTAGAGATCATCTTGCAGTATGCTGGCCTACAAGACTTGTGCCTTGAATAATGGAGTTTTCAATATAATGGAGTTTTCAATACACATTTGATGTCTATACATTCATTTGAACATAAAAATTTGGTAAATGTTTTATCATGAAAATCATAAAACACATCAAGCAAATTCTAATTTACATGCTTCCATCTGGCAGTTTAATTACACCGGTATACTTTTATGCAAATACAGTTTATCCAAAGATATTTAAAATCAAATCATACTAAAATATAGTTATTATTCTATTACAGCATGTTATAACTTGTCTATGCAAGTATTGTAGCAAGTTCAGTTTGAAAAATAATGATAAGGTACACATTTGGGATTCTACTAAGGTTGAATAGCCACAATGGCTATATATATATTGTTTTCCAGTTAAACCAACTTGCTTGGTTACTTGTCAAACTAAGGGAATACAAAATAATTCATGATGCTGGAGAGTAAATACAAAATAATAATGTCCAATTCGTGTTATATTTTGTCAACTAGGTTGTATATTAACTGTAACTGGGGGTTACATTTATTGTATATAAGGATTTGTTACCTTATGTGACAATTATTCACTGAGGCTTACAGTTAATAATTGTTTTGTCATCTTGAATTTCTCGGGACAACCATTCTGTACACAGAGATATTTATAATATTTTGA